CCCCCCCCCCCCCCCAACTGTTTAGAGTTATTTACGCAAAGTGGGGAAATAATCATTGACTGTGATTGTTAATTTTTAACGAAACACAAGTGCCGACAAAAACCTATTGAAGACTCAGAATTATATATATCTTGACAACATACGTCAATGTCAGAGTCATTGGCAGAGTTGCTTCCCTTTTCTAGTTTTATCTTTAATTTATTACTAAATTTAATTTATTTACTTCTATGTTTATTAAATACAATAATGGCTTGTAATGTGATAATCGGCTTTATAATAACCATATAGAAAAAGTCAAGAAATATATTTTAAAATTTTGTAAGCTATACTAATTTCCATTTTCAAATTTCCAAATTTTATTTTCTAGTCAAGATGGGTAAAATAAATAATACTAATTTTAATTTAAATGTTTAACAATACAAATCGAATAAGCAGAAACGAAACACATGACTTTTAAATGAAAAATTCAATCAATACAATAATGTTTATGACTTTAGTGACTAATTACTGTTTCTCTCTCTCTCTCTCTCTCTCTCTCTCTCTCTCTTCTCTCTTTTCATTGATCTTTCCTAAATAGTTTTTCTGAATATATTTCCCGATATAACCGCTACTTTGTATTTAGTAACACATCACGACACTGTGCGGATATGGCAGCTCTAGAAGGATCAGACAATTGGATGTGGAAACATGTTGTTAAATTAAACAATTTTACTGTACAGTGCAAGATAGATAATTGTGATAAAATTTATAAGACTGATAAAAATGAAAATAGAGTGATAATAATGATAAAAGGACATTTATACCATCAGCATGAAAAATACGATGAAGAAGATCGGTTAAAATGGGAAAACGACAATGACTTTATATGGCGATATTTTGACAAAATAGGTTTATATGAAGAAAAATGTAAATTTTGTCACGAATCATTTTCCATATCATATACACCATTGTTAAGGATTCATCTGCGACAATACCATCGTCAAAAAATAAGAGCTGATATACGAAAAGAAATTGCAACTAAGTCACTATCGCAACGTTTTAAAATCAATAAGAAAAAACTTAGTGCACGATGCAAACGTTGCAATCTTAAAATGGACATACTATACGGAACAGATGCTTTAATACATCACATTTGTTTTAAAAAGAATCAACATTTAAGGTCTCGACAAAAATCTGAAGATACTAACGTGAACAGAATGACACAACAACCTATAACCGATGAAAATACAAATTTAAGTTCCCATCATGATAATTTAAATAGACAAGCTCTTGGATATCGAGAAACGCAACAAAGGTAACTGTTATGTAATAAAAATATTAATGTTTCACTTTCCTTAAATTATTAATATATTATGTACACTTAATATACATTAAAAATTTAGTATATTATTAGATGTACAACTTTGCTTCCGCCGTTTTTTTTCCGAAATTCGAGGCTTTATTGTAAAAAACTGATTATACATTTATGATTCAAAGTATTGTCCATCGCTGGCCACTACTTTCTCCCATCTTTCGGGTAGCGTACGAATCCCGCGTCGAAAAAACTGGTCATCTTTTGAGGCTATCCACGAATCGATTTCAATTTTTTACTTCTTCATAAGACCGGAAGTGCTGGTCAGCCAGGGCGTGTGCCATTGATCGAAACAAGTGATAGTCAGAGGGAGCAACGTCTGGAGAATACGGCGGATGGAGTAGGACTTTCCATTTCAATGTTTCCAAGTCTGTCTTGACCACTTTCGCAACATGGGGTCAAGCATTGTCATGCTGCAAAATCACTTTATGTCTCTTCGTGTCTCTCGTTATATTGCGGTCATTTGTCTTTCAATGCTCGGCTCAAACGCATCAATTGCGTTCGATACCGATCGCCTGTGATTG